ACCCACAGTAAATGTTCCATAATGACAGCAGTTACAGGAAGTGCCAAGGACCCCAAAGTAAGGTGGAAGCCATGCTTCAGACCTCTTTTCTAAAGAGTAAGAAGTAAATCAGGCAGCTCTTTCTGCCCATGGGTCCTGTCCCCATGCTTTAATAAAATTACCTCTTTGCACGTACACCCACACAAGAATAAGAAATAGATCAAAGTTCTTATCTATTAAATTAAAATCTATGCCAGGGACGCCTGGGTGGCTCGGCTGATTTAACATCCAACTTTTTTTTTTTTGATGGCTCATAAATTTATTTTATTATTTATTTATTTTTTTTTTACAAATAGTTTATTGTCAAATTAGTTTCCTAACATCCAACTCTTGATTTCAGCTTAAGTCATGATCTCCCAGTTCATGGGATCAAGCCCCATGTTGGGCTCTGTGCTGACTGTGCGGGGCCTGCCTGCTTGGGATTCTCTCTCTCTCCCTCTGTCGTAACCCCTACCCTCCCTTCCCCCACCCCATGCTCGTTGATTCACACACGCTCTCTGTCTCAAAATAAGTAAATAAACATTAAAAAAAAATTATGCCACTACTCGGCTTTAAAAAAAAAAAAAAAAAAGTGAGGCGCCTGGGTGGCTCAGTCAGTTGAGCGTTCGACTTTGGCTTAGGTCATGGTCTCAGGGTTCATGGGTTCAAGCCCCACGTCGGGCTCTATGCTGACAGCTAGCTCAGAGCCTGGAGCCTGTTTCAGATTCTGTGTCTCCCTCTCTCTCTGACCCTCCCCTGTTCATATTGTCTCTTTCTCTCTCTCTCTCTCTCTCTCTCTCTGATCCTCCCCTGTTCATGCTGTCTCTCTCTCTCTCAGAAATAAATAAAACAAAAAAAATTTTTTTTAATAAATTAAAAAAAAAAAAAGGTTAAAAAAGGCTTCAAAGCTCTCCACAGAACCAAGTCCAATGAGGTCCTTCCTGATCTGGCCCATGCAAACCTCTCCGACCTCATCTCTTTCCATTCAGCCCTGCCAACCCCTTACCCCACAGCCAGAAGACATATGTGTAGCTCTCCCAATGCAGCGCATTCTTCTCTTGCTGCTTACACATATACACACTGGCCCTACCCTCTACCCACCCCTCCCAGACTTTCTACAGCTTAACTAATCCAAATCATCACTTTCTTTCTACAAGACTGTCTCTGATCCCAGCCATGGTACCCCATCCGTGCCTCTTCCAAAGAAAGTGCTGCCTTACCATCTGACTCCTCCACTGGCCTGTGCCCAGTGCCTGGTATACAGTAAGTATTGAGTGTTTACTGACATCTTCCTATACACTTATATGGCACCCAGCATCGCTGATGGGGTAGTGTTTAGAGGTTCAGTGAGGGTAGAAAGTAAACATAAATTTGAATTCTTAGTCCAGAAGTCACACCAGTCATCCTTTAACTTACAATACATTTTCTTCCAATTAGTTACATGACTTGCCCTTGGCAAAGAATAAAAGGCAATTTTTGAGATGCAAAGAAATCAGAGAGGCTGCCAATTATAATAACTACTAGTCCAATTCCATTTATGTACCATCTGTCTTCCCCTAGGATCAGGTTAGCCCATTACCAACAAGATGGACTAGGTTATGCCTTTTTTGGTTTTTTTTTTCTAAACAAGTGAATATATAAAGCTTCAAACTGTCAGAAATCGATCAAACTGTTGATCTGCTTTTTTTTTTTTTTTTTTTGGCGCATAGAAATGTCTTCCAATTACAAAATGCTCTATTTGTCCCTTGAAATGTGCTTAAAACGAAGGACAGAATTTAGAGTTTGAATCAAAATTAACTCAATTTACACTTCTCCCAAAGGCAGTATATTTTTAAAGCAGCATTTCCTTAGTGGGATGTCAGTTATATTCCCTGAATTGTCCTTTGATTGGAGATGTAACTCCTTGGGAGGAAACAGGAAAGGAATATTTCTATATCAGGTCAGTGTTCACCACACTAACTAAAAGCAAAAAGCAGCTTTTTTACAGATATTTGTGGAGTCTTTCTCAAAGTCTTCCCTAGAAAGACACAATAGGACTCAATATTGAATGTTTTGAAAATATGCAAGGAAAAAATGACCTCAGATGTACTGACACATAAGAAATTCCAGGGGCACCTGGGTGGCTCAGTTGGTTAAGCATCTGACTCTTGATTTTGGTTCCGGTCAGGATCTCACAGTTAATGAGACTGAGTCCTGCACTGGGCTCTGTGATGACAGCAGGAGCCTGCCTGGGATTCTCTCTCTCTCCCTCTCTCTCTGCCTGTCCTCCACCCTCCACACAGGCAGGTGGGGTCTCTCTCAAAATGAATAAACATAAAAAACAAAAAAACAAAACACCTCCAGTACGATGTCAAAATTCTTTTGTGGTGCTGAGGGCAGGGATCACCCAAAAGCCTCTACTTTGAAGGATTAGAACTACCTCCAGATTATATAAAGTTTAAATGTTCGCTTCAAAAATTAGTCACCCCCCCATTTATAGTCTTCTTACCATCCAGGTTGTTTTTTTGAAAGGGTGGGTGCTTAACACTCATTACCATGTTTCAGGTGGAAGAAAGGATAACTCAGGCCAGGACTTTAACATATGCAACTGGCTACATCTGAAAGACAAGTACAATCAGTCGGTTTCCCAGGGATGTGGACGTAGTACTTTATCCCATCCCTGGCACCCTTCCTTCAAAACTGCACATCTGCAAAACCCTTTGTGAAATTCAAAACGGGAATCAGATTCAAGACAGCCTTCAAATATAAGCCCAAAGCAAATATTTTTTTAAAATAAAGGTAATGCCCAACTCCTAAGTCTTCTACAGGTCTCAGGAAGAGAGACAGCAAAAGGCCACAGAATGAACTCTGCCTCGGAGACAGACGGGCTTTGGTGTCAAATCCCAGCTCCCCACTTACTATCTGCGTGACCTTGAGCAAGACAGGTTACTCCCTAAACTTCAGTTTATCTGTTTATAAAAGGATCATAACTCTACAGGTTATTTCAATGGTTCAGTTAAATAAAACATATAGAAAGAACCTGCATTTTGGCTGCTCAGTATGTCAAGAAGGCAAGGTTTGGGTTCCAGCTCTGTTCTTAGCACTTCTAAAGGGTTTTGCTAACGTATAATAAAAAGAGTACTGGACAAGCATCAGAAAGATCTACGTTAAATCCTACATCCCTGGGGGTCGTTCAGCTGTAAAATGTGGGATTGGACTAGCTGATCCCTAACCAACCTACCCGTTCTGAAAAACACAAGTAAACCCCAAATTTCTGAATCCTGCATTCATTTTTGTTCTCATTTGCTCCTTCTTTAACATGAAAAACTCATGTCCTTCGTGAACAGGTCAGAAAAAAACAAAGAAATGCCAAGATGCTCAAGAAACATCATTTGAGTCACGTTCAAATTATAGGACAGGCTATTTTTTGTTTTTGTTTTGCAGGAGGGTGTACATGAAAGATGTCTGAATGATGCACTCATGGTAGGTAATAAATGCCTGTACCCGGAAATTTTGCATTCTACAGCAGAAAGTCACTGCTACACACACTGCCCAGCAGCACACAGAGACACTCAAAAAATGTTTGCTGAATGAAACACCCAGACAACACCTGTTGCTCTCTATAAAATCTTTCAATTGCTCTCCTTACTCAAGCCAAAATCTAAGAAGGATGGTCAGCACACAAGATCTGTATCAAATACCTTCGAAGGAACTAATTCTTCAAATTCTTAATTATGCTAAGTGGAAAAACATAAACACCGTGAAAGAAATGTTGAACCACCGGAAAAAACTTCGAAGCGAAGCCAAGTTTCAATATTCCCGCAGAGATACCCCCTCTGCAGCGGGGGTCAATTTCCCTGCCTCTTCGAGCCCTGATGAGCACCCTCAAAGGCGCTTGGGGCGGGGGGAATCCAACTCCCGTTCTACCCTGGTACACTCAGCTCTCCACGCCCCCGCTCCCAACCCATAAACCTTGAAGGTGGAGGTCACTTGAGCCAGCACTGAACAGACACGAACACCGGGAAGCCAAAAAGACTATCTCCGCATCTTCTCAAGGGTCACCACTGAACCACAAACTCTGAAAAGACCCAAATTAATCACAAACCTAACAGACTTGGTTCCGGCTGTTTCAGCTTGGGATAAACTATTTCCCTACAGCTTTTAGAGTCAAACAAAAACTCCAAAAGCAAAGTCGAAGGGTCCATTTCCTCCTCCTCTCCCAGGAATGCGGCTACTTTACAAAACGCAATCTCCCCCCCTGCCCCCCCGCCCCGGGACAAGTACTCTCCGAAACCTTTGCCCCGGGCTCAGATCGTTGGGTGGGTCCCCGGGGAGAGGGGCTGCCCTCCGGGCTTTCGGTTGTTCGGGGGGGGGGGGTCCCCGGGAGACCCGCATGCAATGGGCTCTCAGAGTAAAACTGAAAGAGGAAAAAAAAAAAACAAAAAACCCCAGACTCGCGCACCGTGGCGGAAGGCGCAAAGCCATGGGGGATTTTAGCACAGAGTGGAGGAGCCCAGAGACGACTCAATTTTCCCTCCTGCCTTCCGCTGCTCTTCTCCGGAACCGGGCACGCTGCCCCGATCCACGCAGTCCCCCGACACATGGGGTGTCGCTCCTCATCAGAGCACATGAACTTTAAAATGGTGACTAGGGCGGGGAGGGGGGTGGCGGCGACAGGGGAGGAAGGGCCAGAGAGTCCCGGGACGAGCGAGCGGGCGCGGGGGCCAGGCAAAGAGGCCCCGGAGGGCGGGTGGGGCGCCCCGGGTGACGCGCACGTCGGGGGGGATGGAGGGAGGCGCACCGGGAGAAGGTGGAGAGAGAAATGGAACGCGGCCCCTTTAAGAGGCCTTCACGGCGCTCAGGGACCGGGGGCCTCTCTTCCACCCCCGGCCCGGAGTGTGGGGCCCTTCCTTGGGGAGAATCATCCCCAGGCTCGCTCCCCGGAGGCTTCCTTCAAGCCAGGTCCCGCCCGGCCCTGCCCCGCGGCGGCGGCTCCTCCTTACCCCGCTGTCTGCCGCCTCCTCCCAGCTCTCAGCGACCTCCTCATCTTCCATCTTACTCGCCGCTTTCCCTCCTCCCCCACCCCTCCCCGCGCCTGCGCCCTGAAGCGCGCCTCCGTCGCGGGCGCCGGCACGCAAGGCTTTACTCAATGGACCCCGCCCCTTGCCAAGCCCGGAAGAAGCGCCAGGTCAAGGCCCATGATCATCGAGAACGCCATCATGGAAAAGGGCAGAGGACACAGAAGGTTGCCATTTTTCTTAAGGGCAACGTGTTAGTTCTTGTACTGAATGGGAGCGCCCACGTGAAGTCATCGTCCTGAGTATGGAAAGTGTGTTCTTTGGAACCATCTTTTCTAAGGGCAGGCAATTACTGAAAATCTTTTTTTTTTTTTTAAGTGACCGGTAATGTTCGCGAACTGCAGATGACGTTTTTCTCAAAGTTCTTAAAATAGATTTATACAATAGAGGATGAAAAATATCTGCTGACGCATAACACACTTTATTATTTCTATGGGATAAGGTGAAAATCGTTACAGTTTTCCTTCACGTAAAGAATATTCCAAGCATCTGTTAACTAAAACAATAGTTTAAGTTGATAACAACCAGAACTAGAAAGTTCTCCGGAGTCTTCAGTGACAGATATATACATTAGCATTTCCTTAAACATTTACTTATGGATCTTCTTAAACGGTATTCCTGCTTTATTTTTCTCCAGTACCGAAGGAGAGACCTTGAACTTTAAAGTTCAACTTTGGACGCTTCCAACTTGAACAAGGTTGTGTGATCTTATGCAAGTTATTTATGGGTTCTGTGCCTCAGTTTCCCCAAGTGTAAAAAAGATAATAATAGTAGTAGTAGCTGCTTCAAAGGTAGATTGTAAGAATTAAACTCGTTACTGCTGAGAAGCACTGGACAGTGTTTGGCCCACAGTAAGAGTTCCAAGGCTTAGCTATTATTTTGGGGGTGGGGGAGTCTTGTGCCTCCCTAAGAAAACGTGCAATTCTCTACTCATCCTTTCTTTCCCAAAACACAAAAACAGGGAGGGAAGCAAACACCATGTATTTTTATTCTCATTGTCGTATTCCTATAGGCCCCCCAGTTTTTAAAAGCTGTCATTTGATAGTGTTGCATTTAGCTATTTGTAATTAAATTACCTAACTTGGAATGTGTGTTTCTTCTCATGCTTTTAGCATGTCATTAATCTTTCTAAAGTAACAGCTTCCTGTTGAGAATTTTTTATTATTTTTTTAAGTCTATTTATTTATTTTGAGAGAAACAGAGACCGTGTGAGTGAGGGAGGGGCAGAGAGAGAGAGAGAGAGAGAGAGAGAGGAGCCCAAGCAGGCTCATGCTGCCAGCCGTGCAGAGCCTAATGTGGGGCTTGAACCCACGAAACCACAAACTCGTGACCCGAGCTGAAACCAGGAGTCGGACACCCAACCAACCAAGTCACCCAGGCACCCTAAGAATTTTTGCAATATGTATTTCTAATAATTATTATATAAACTGCAATCATGTGTTAAATGTTACTAGTTTTTATTTAGAAGCGAGAATGACATGCTTACTAATTCTGGTTTCATGACTCCCTGTCTCTGAAATATAGATCATCTCTGTGTCCTCAGTCCATTGTTTTTACCTAGATGCTCATGGTGTGAGCCACCTACTGAATGGTAAAGACTCCCAAAGTTGACTTCCAGCCCTGACATGACCGGGTGTTTCCAATTCTTAATCTAGGCTTCTTATTGGCATCTCCACATTGGATATCCCATTAGCAGCTCAAATCCTCTCTGTCTAAAATATTATAATTTGAACAGCCTGAACAATGTCAGAGAAAAAAAAGATTTTGTCTTGTTCACTCTCCAAAGCTATATTACTTTGTTGGGTTTTTAAAAATATTTTACTTTTTAAGTTGATTTATTTTTTTTAATTTTTATGGTTTTTACTTTTTCTGAGAGACAGAGAGACAGCGTGAGCAGCGGAGGGTCAGAGAGAGAGGGAGATACAGAATGTGAAGCAGGCTCCAGGCTCTGAACTAGCCATCAACACAGAGCCCGACATGGGGCTCTAACCCACGTACCATGAGATCATGACCTGAGCCGAAGTCAGACGCTTAACCGACTGAGCCACCCAGGCACCCCTGATTTATTTATTTTGAGAAGAGCTGTGGAAAGAGGGAGAGAGCATGTAGACACGCTTCAGGGCAGGGCTGCGAGATCATAACCTGAGCCAATATCAAGAGTTGCACTCTTAACCGACAGAGTCACCCAAGCACCCCTAAAGATTTTATATTTAAGTAAGCTCTCCACCCAATGTGGGGCTTGAACCTACAACCTGGAGATCAAAAGTTGCATACTTTACTGACGGAGCCAGCTGACACCCATAGAGCTACATTTACTTTGAATACATTCTTCTGTGAACCCGTTGTCTTAAGTGAATTATCCTGACTGAGCCTTGGGGACAGAAAGGAGAATGAGACTGTTTATCAAGTCTCTCTAGTCTCCTGAGGCAGGATTCATTTTTCATCATTGCCGCTGATGCTTTTTTTTTTTTTTTTTTACGTCTCTGTAGTTGTAGAATGTCACCAGCAGAGGGAGATAGTTTCTTACAATTTTGTTATATTTGCCATTGCACCTTCACAAAGGAATTAGCTGGACATTCCTGAGACTGAATTTTCTAGGAGACCAGAAAGATAGAGACCTTGGAGACCATTTAAGCATGCATCAAAGGAAATAGCTTTTTTCCCACCAAATGGGCTACCAGGACTCCAGCCCTAGTTAATCGTATAGACTCCTTGACCTTGGCCAAGTCCCTTCCTCATCTGTAAAATGAGGGGATGGGGCCAAATAAGTTCTAAAATTGAGGAAGTTGTGGTGATTTTCTTCCATCAGGGGGAAAGCCCCAGAAGTTGAAGAAGTGGTATGTATAGATATTAGTGGATATCCTAAAACATGAGTTTCTCTTTCCTGTGAAATACATTTGATACACTATTCATGTTTGGAACTTGTACTCAGAACTGCAGGCACCATTGCTACATCACATAAAACACTCTGATGTGTGATAGGAATTAACAGCAAAGCCCATAGTGGGAAGTCTTTCCATCTAATGCACTAACTGAGGCTAGGTAGACAGTTGTGTTAAGAAATAAACAGGAAAGAAAGAAATGGCCAACTTACCAATATTTAAAGAATACATTACATACCTTTTGACCCAGCAATTGCATTTCTAGGAAATTTCCCTGTGGATACATTTGCTCATATGGAAATAACAAAAGTACAAGGATATTCTTTGCTACTTTGTTTATAATCACAAAACAGTAGAGACAAGTGTCCATCTCTAGAGAATTTATTTTAAAAATATATGGGGGCGCCTGGGTGGCTTAGTCGGTTAAGCGTCCGACTTGCGCTTAGGTCATGATCTCGCGGTTCGTGGGTTCGAGCCCCGCGTCGGGCTCTGTGCTGACTGCCAGCTCAGAGCCTGGAGCCTGTTTCAGTCTGTGACTCCCTCTCTCTCTGACCCTCCCCTGCTCACGCTGTCTGTCTCTCTCTCTCTCCTAGAAATAAATAAAAATATTAAAAAAATAAAAATATATGGTTCAGGGGCACCTGGGTGGCTCAGTCGGTTAAGCATCCGACTTCAGCTCAGATCATGATCTCATGGATTGTGAGTTCGAGCCCCGTGTCTGGCTCTGTGCTGGACCCTGGAGCCTGCTTCAGATTCTGTGTCTCCCTCTCTCTGCCCTCCCCTGCTCATGCTCTCTCCCTCTCAAAAATAAATAGACATTAAAAATAATAATAATAAACATATGGTACCTCCATACAAAGGAATAGAATGCAATTTGTTAACAAAATTTAGATCATCCTAAATATGCTGACATCAAATGACCTCAGAAAATTATAGTTAATTTTTTTAAAAAGCAGCAAGGTGGGCTGGTGGCTCAGTCAGTTAAGCACCTGACTTCAGCTCAGGACATGATCTTACAGTTCATGAGTTCAAGCCCCATGTTGGGTTCTGTGCTGACAGCTCGGAGTCCGGAGCCTGCTTCAGATTCTGTGTCTCCCTCTCTGCTCCTCTCCTGCTCATGCTCTGTCTGTCTCTCTCTCAAAAATAAATATTAAAAATGTATTTTAAAAAAGCAGCAAGGTAAAGAGCAGCACGTATAGTTTGCTGCTATCTGTAGGTTTGTTTATTTATATGTTATACATGTCCTTGTTTTTTTTTTTTTTAAGTAATCTCTGCCCCAAACATGGGGCTCACAGCCCGGAGATCCAGAGTCATATGCTTTTCCCACTGAGCCAGCCGGGAGCCCCTACATGTGTATATGTTTGTTGGTATATGTATCTCTGGAAAGAGATAAGGAATTTGTAATGGTAGTTGCTTTGGTGGAGGAGAGAGGTAGCTAGGGCGCTGGTAAGGTGGATTTACTTTTTATATGTCCTTTTGTACCTTTTGAATGTTGTTCTATGTTTATAGCTTACTTACCCTACGTAAGCATATACATAAGAAATTAATTTCAGTAGGGGCGCCTGGGTGGCTCGTCTGTTAAGTGTCTGACTTCGGCTCAGGTCATGATCTCACGGTTCGTGGGTTTGAGCCCCGCGTCAGGCTCTGTGCTGACAGCTCAGAGCCTGGAGCCTGCTTCGGATTCTGTGTCTCCCTCTCTCTGATCCTCCCCTGCTCATGCTCTCTCTCTCTCTCTCTCTCTCTGAAATAAAAAATAAAGAAATAAAAGATATATCTTAAAAAAAAAAGAAATTAATTTCAGTAGTTGATTATTGGAATAGACTCTGGAGGAAAACTTTTACACTTACTAGAGAGGCGACAGCCACTCCTCTCATTGCTTGTCTCATTGTACCCAATCATATCCCAATTAGCCTTCATACTGCAGATAGATTACTCTAAAATACTATTTTCATCATATATCCGTCTCCAAATCTCTATGACATAGAAGGGAATATCCAGTTTTCCTGCTGACATTTCAGACCATGTATAAACCGGCCTCAATCTTCTCTCCTCCTCTTTGCCAGAAGCAACATTGCACAGAGTTTAATAACCTAGGTTTTGAGGCTCAACATGACTCATCA